GCCGCCGCATCTGTTCAAGCACCATTGCGAGGCCCTGCTCCCTCAGGTGCACGCGCAACTCCAAAGGTGTCAAACCTCCACTGATGTGGGGACGTGCTTGCAGTCGTGGGCCTCCGCTGTGGAGGAGGCGGTCCACCGCGGCTTGTTGGACTCCCCGACGGACTCGGGTCAGTGTGGTCTCCGGAAAGCGCAACGCGGACGGTGCCGCCCTAGAAGCCTGTGTCAACGCCCTGTCCCACAGCTGGTGAAGGCGGCAAGGCGTGGCGATTTCACCACGGATGTTGAGGCCACTTCGGTTCTGTGCCGGATGCGGGTGCGGCAGGTTCGGCGGCTGGAGGAGCTTGCCCGCACCATTCATGCAATCCAACACCGCCCAGGCAACAACCATAGGAACCGCTGCGCCTGTGACCAGTGGCGGCGTATACGGAATGCAGCAGGATACTCTATGCCTTTCCCCGCTTGGCTCTTGCGCGTTGCCCATTTCCATCAGGTGCCACTCGACCTGCCCGATGCTGACTGGCTTTGTGACTGCATCAGTTATACCAAGTTTGATTGCCAAGCCTTGGCTAAGCAGGAGGCAAAGTGCCGCGCGGACAAGTTCAAAATCAGAATGGCCTTGGATCGGCGCTACCATGCGTCGGCGGAAGGGTTTGCGGCTGTGCGCCCAGCGCCGCATCCCCCTTTCACCAGCGTGCCCCATCGACTGGAATGCCAGGCCCTTCTGGTCCATGCTGAGGATGCAAGCATGTGTACATATGCCCTCCCTGCAGGGGTGTCTCTGCACCCGAGCGCCCCGTTCACTGTCAATCAGGCCACCATCCCGCAGGCCACCAACGAGGGTGACCACATTTGTGTCCGTGGCCCATCACTTGGGGAGTCCATTTGGGTGTCACAGGACCAGGTGGCATGCACAGCTCCCGAGCTTGCCAAGGCCTTCAGTGACTACTGGGGGCCGCTCTGGGGCCGTGACCGTACTGAGGAATCACAGCAACTTGCAGGTTGGGAGCTCTTCCAGGCAAACACGCAAGACCTTTCAGGGCCATTGCCACGCATTGATGTTGACATGTGTGACATACGGTTGTGGCGACAAGCTATCCGGCGAATGCCCAAAATGAAGGCCACAGGAATCTGTGGATGGTCCCCGTCTGAGCTCAAACTTTTGCCGGACTGTGCTCTGGAGGTTCTGATCCGCATCTTTCAGATTGCCGTTAAGTTGGGTCTGCCTGCTCACATGCTTGAGTCGCGCGTCTGTGTCCTGGCCAAGCATGAGGCGCCTGAGCACATCAAGCACAGTCGTCCTATTGTCATATTCAGTACTTTGTATCGTCTTTGGGGTTCAGTTCTTGTGAACCAGGTGCTGCACACGTGGGGAAACACCTTTCCACCGGCAGTCATGGGGAGTCTACCAGGCAGGGCTGCCAGTGATCTGGCGGGGCGACAGCAGCATGCCATTGAATGCGCCCTGCTGCAAAAGGAGACACTTTACGGGGTTGGGGTTGACATAGTAAAATGCTTTAACCAGCTGCCATGGCCTCCCTTGCGTGTCCTGATGACACGAGCAGGCATGCCTGGTGACCTCGTTGACTTTTGGTTGCAGGGTTTGCGCAAGGTTGTTAGGCGTCCTGTTTTCCTCGGGTCGGTGTGCCCTGCTGGCATAAAGGCCTATAACGGTGCGCCGGAGGGCGACCCAGTGTCGGTCGCCGCCATGGCTGCCGTGTGCTATTGGGCTCACAACTTCATTCAACCGTCTTCTGCTGAGTTCGGCACGTACGTTGACAATTGGAGTTGGCAGGCGCCGGCGCTCCCAACGTTGAAGCATGCCACCTCATACCTCCTCCGTTTCCTTCAAAGTCTCAAACTCCCTGTGGACTGGACTAAGTCCTACAGCTGGGCTACAACTCCAAGTGGCCGTCAGTGGCTCCGGACAGGGCTCGCTGACGTGTTGCCGCCTGAAGTGCAACTGCCGGTTGCGCGAACGGTCAGGGAGCTTGGGGCTGCTTTCCAGTTCGATGCCTCCCAGCATGCAACTGTCCGCAAGGGCAAAGTCGAGCTGGGGCTTGAAAGACTCCGGAAATTGGAAAAGGTGCCACGTCCTATTCTGGAGAAGGCGCAGCTGATACAAAAAGGGGTTTGGCCCAGCTGCTTGTATGGACTTGAGGGTGCCTCCTTGAGTGTGCAGGACGCGTCCCGGCTGCGTGCCGCAGCCACGAGGGCCTTGCTGGGCCCTTCGCAAGTCGCAAGCCCCCACTTGGCGCTCACATGCCTCCATGCCTCACTTCAGGACCCACATCTCTTTGCCATTGAGAAGCAGGTCTTGCAACTGCGCCGCTTCATACACCATGCGCCCCATACGGCTGCATCCATGTTGGCAGTCATGTCTGACTTCCACGAGGTCCCTCGCGTTACAGTGGGCCCTGCTACGGCCTTGTTAAAGTCGCTTCACTTCCTGGGACTGAAGATGGACCTTGATGCCCGAGTGAAGGGCCCGGACAATGTTTGTCTGCAGCTGCAAACTGCCAGTGCAAAAGACGTTCGCAGCTTCCTCACGAGTGCCTGGGAGTGCCATGTGGAGCGCACCGTTGCCCATAGGAACGGCTTACAGGGTGTAGGAACACCTTGGGGTCAAGAGACCGCCCGCATCCTCCGCCAGGTTGGGGATGCGGAGGCACTGGTGTTGGCTCGCTACGTGTGCGGTGCATATAGCTCTGGGGCCGCCAAACATAAGTGGGAGCCCGCCGTCCCCGATATGTGTCCCCTGTGTGGCGCAAAGGACACGAAGGAACATCGCCTGTTGACATGTTCCGCACTTGAGCATGTGTATAAGGATTGGGCCGGTTTGATGCAGTACTGCCTTGACCGCTGGCCTCATTGGTTGCATGGACTGTATGCGGTCCGAGCAGAAGGTGCATTAGTCACAAACCTGATTTTCGCACAGCGTCGCATGCCTGCGGCTAGCAACAAGGCTGCTCAGGAACTTGCGCGTCACATTCCGCGCCTGCTGCTCTTCACAGATGGCAGCTGCCGCCATCCCACAGTTCCGGTTGCATCGCACTCAGGTTTCGCTGTCGTCATGGCCCTAACTACCGACGTTGAGTTGGTGCTCGAGGAATTTGAGAGATGGCGAGCCACAGGATGCCACAGCAACCTCTTCTGTGTGGTGTGCCAAGGCCTGACACCAGGGTCCCAAGGGATAAATAAGGCGGAGGCATATGCCATCCTCCAGGCTTGTCGTTTCGCAGCGCAGTGCCCCCATGATGATGTTGAGATCGTTTCTGACAGCAAGGTTGCTCTTAGGAATGCGCACGTTGTGGTTCAGGGTGCTTTGGGTTCTTTTCCTGAACTGGCGAAGGAAATGCAGGCCTGTTGGCGCCCTTACTTCAAGCTTACCAAGGTCGCTTCACATCAGGACATGACTTGCCTCGCTGGCCGAGACCTACTAATGGCATTGGGCAATGACTACGCGGATACTGCCGCTAAGGAGGCGGTCAAGGCGGACCTGAGCATCGTCACGGAGATCGTTGATCAGGTCTTTGAGTTCACTACGACGCAGCGCGACTGCATGCTTGTAACGGCCCGTTACATGCTGGCGGTGTCGGCAGAGGCGAGCCGACTGTTGCGAGCTAAAGGTGACACTGCAGTTTCCTTGGAGCCGGTCCTTAGGAAGAACCTGGACGAGGCCACTTCGCCGGCGGAAGCTTGGCGGGAGCTTGACCCCAAGCCAGGCTACCTCTGGACCACGAAGACGCTGCAGAACGATTGGCTGGTCGCCTGTCCGTGGCCTCCATGGTTTACCTTCCCTTTGTGGCAATGGCTACGGCGACTACGATGGGAGTTGCCTGGTGCCCACAAGGGCGTGTGCAATGGCGTTACCAACGTTGAGTTGCTGGTGCACTTTGTCGCCTCTACAGGCGTTTGCCCACCAGCTCGTGACCCTCGCCCGGAACACGCTGGTGAGTACTTGGACGCACGACACACTGACATGCCCATGCTGGTCCCACTACGGGAGTGGACGGCGGCGATCCTTACGGCAGCTCGTTGCCTGGAGACTGTTAGTGGTTGTCGGCTGTTACCTGACCGCAGACGGAAGGTATACAGCTTACGAACTGCAGGCGTGCAAGCGCCTCGGCATGGACTCCAGCAAAGACCGGTTCTTGGACAGCTTGATGGTGTTTGGGATCTCCTAAGTGAGGTTCTACATGATGGCGGAGTTTCCCCTCTGCTGGCCTCTTGTACAGAGTACACAGGCCCAGTATTCACCCCACCGCAGGAAGTGTGCAGCGAGCACCATAGCCTGTCGACACAGGAACGACAGCGCCTGTTCAGGTGGCTTAGAAGACTCAGACATTGATGGGACTTCATTCTGAGGTGAGGTGCTGCTTCTTGCTGGCCCTTGCCTCCCTCTTACCCAGTTAAAGGTTTAGGGTTTGCGGTTTGGGGTTTAGGGTTTAGGGTTTAGGGTTTGGGCTTTAGGGTTTGGGGTTTAGGGTTTGGGGTTTAGGGTTTGGGGTCTAGGGTTTAGGGTTTCGGGTTTTAGGGTTTAGGGATATGCCCCCAGCACCCTCGAGCCTGTGGGTGGTTAGTATTTCAGTGCGGGGTCTCTGTCGTAGTAGTGCTCCTTATCGCCCCAGGGTTTTGGGGCTTAGGGCCCCAGAACTTCCCTCCACCAAATCTAAGGGTGGATTCATGGGCCCTTCGTTTGTAATTACAGGGTATATATGGAGCATTAAGGGTTTTCTTTTAAGGGCCCATACTAAGGGACCATGAAACTACCCCTAAATCCAACACCATACTTCCCAACTCCCCGGAAGCTTTGGCAACCAAGACTGCTGCAAAGGCGCCCCCAAAAGGGTCTTAGAGTTAAGGGTTTAGACCCTTAAGCTTCAAGACACTGAAAAACTCTAACCCCGAAACCCCTAAACCCCTAAACCCTAAACCCTAAACCCCTTCTAAGCCCAAAATGCCTGGGTTTTGCACCATTTTCGAACTGACGCCTTGGGCAGCTGTCGGAGCTCTCGGCCACGGCAATCTGGTCCGGGGCCTTGATGCTGTCTCCAAGAGTGGCTTTGGGTTTAGGGTTTAGGGAGTAGGGTCTAGGGTTTAGGGTTTAGGTTTTAGGTTTTAGGTTTAGGGTTTAGGGTTCAGGTTTAGGGTTCAGGGTTTAGGGTTTAGGGTTTAGGTTTAGGGTTTAGGGTTTAGGGTTGAGGGCATACGAAACCCTTCGGCCGAGACCGGAGCTTGGGTGTAAGGCCCGTCTGCAACCCCACCACTCCTGACTGCGAGAACCTGGCCAAACCCCACAACCCTAGCACCCTAAAACCCTGATTGCGGAAAACCGTCAGATTTGCCCTTGAAGCAACTTTTCAGGTTCGGGTTTGGGTTTAGGAAGTTTAGGGGGTTGGGGATGTTGGGGGGGTTTAGGGCTTAGGGCCTGGACCAGCAGCTTCAGAGGACAAGCCAGTGCGTTAGGACTTGTCGCCGGGGACCGTGCACAGGCTTCTCCTCCATTCCATGGAACGAGCTACAAGAACAAACCACGGGTTCTGAAAGGTGAAGGGATCCAGGGATCATGGGATGCGAAACCCTAAACCTACACCCCGAACCCTGAAAGCAGCCCCGAACCCCTAGAAAGCAACCCTGAACCCCCGAGCACACATCCCGAAACCTTACTGGCTTATAGGGTTCAGGGTTTAGGGTTTAGGGTTTAGGGTTTAGGGTTTAAGGTTTAGGGTTTAGGGTTTGTCAGAGCCCTGGATCTGAGGCGAAACAAAATCCTCGGCCGGCCCTCTCCGCGAGATGAAAGGCCCTCGGCTTGGTCAGCCCAGATCCAGAAATCACCTTGTTGGGGTTTAGGGTTTAGGGCTTGGGGTTTAGTTAGGGTTTAGGGTTTAGGTTTGAAGCTTCAGGGTTTAAGGGTTTAGGGCACTATAGTGGTCGGAATATTTACTCATAGTGTTCCCTTATGGTCCGTAACTTAACCAACAGTTGAACTTTAACCTTTTTGGGCGTCCTTATTTCGTAGGAACGATAAAGTTTAACCTTTTTTTCCCCTTGGTTATTGGCGAAGTAAGTTAAACTAGAAAAACCCTCCAAAACCCTATTCTAGATATCAAGGCCGTGCGCCTGTTTCGGTTGCAGGGTTTCGGGGGAGGCTGGGGGTGATGTTTGGGTTTAATGGTTTTGGGGACCTGGGGATGTTTAGGTTGTTTAGGTTTGTGGAAGCCCGAAGCTGATCAGATTCTGTAGTTCGGGTTTGGCTCGGTGGCTTCCAGTAGATGATCGCGCGTTGTGATTTTTGGGCTCTGCTTCCCTGTACTTTAAAAAAGTTTCGGCCCTAAAGCCGAAGCTCCGGGTCAGTGAGGGCGCAAGTTCTGCATTTGGCTTTTCAGTTGCTAGCAGCGGCTTCGCTGAGAGGTTCATGAGTAGCCCCGGAATCCCAAAGCGAGTCACTTCAGACCCTAAACCGGAAACTTTTGGGGTTTCGTGGGGCAGAAGGTTCAGCCAAAACCCAAACTGAGGCTTCCAGGGCTTTACCCCAGCTCCATCGGTTGTGCAAACACGAAGCCTTGCGTGCCTAAACCCTAAACCCTAAACCCTAAACCCTAAAGCCCCAACAAGCGGCAGGCTTTTACATATCTCCAAGCCCCACACCCCACTTGAAGGTCTAGGGCCCGGAGTTGACCCTTGTGTCATGTTTTTAGAGTTGGGGCTCCCGTATAATCCCCTTAGATCGGTAGCCTTCTTTTTTCAAGGTAACCCTAAACCCTAAACCCTAAACCCTAAACCCTAAACCCTAAACCCTAAACCCTAAACTCTAAACCTACTCCTGGGTCTAGAGGTTCATGGGCACTCAGAATTTTAAGCGCTGCCCGTCACCCGCCTCGGCCCGGCCCGGCGCCAGGAGGCTTTTGGGGTATTTGGGTGTAGGGTTTAGGGTTTATAGGGTTTAGGACTACTGTTTGCTCAAGAACCCCAAAAGAATAAATGATCCCTATATTACCCTTAATAAGGAAAAAATTGGTTTTGGGAGTTCTTAAGCAATTAGTAGTGTCCTAGTGGCTCGTCAGCTCTCTTGGTTCTTACGGGTAAGCCGGGAGGGCGCTGTCAATGATATCCCAGTTTCTAAGATTCATGCGAGACCTGGTGCATTTTGGGCGTGGCTCGCGGCAGCACTGTCTAACTTCTAGGTCGTGTTCGTCAAGGTCTTCCACTCCAGGCGAAGTGAGTCTTCGGACTCTGCTACGGGGGTGGCTGGTGGCCGAGTCCACACCGTGAAGGCCACCATTAGATCCCAAAGCTACCCCATGGAGCTCTCCATGCACATGCATGTGCTGCCCCTGCGTCGCGGGGCTTTCAATCGCCCGATCTCTCGAAGACTGAGCCATACACAGGAGGTCAAAGTGCTTGCCGGTTTCCAACATCGCTTGTTCCACGAATCTCGGTTTCTTGAAAGCCTGGCCTTTCAATCACCACTACCAGTACCCCGGAACAAAACAGGGCTGGCAGTTCGGCCTGCGGTGCCCATGGCAACAGGAGGGGACGTAGGCCTTGGGCCTCGGTGGATACCTGACTGGTTAAGCCAAGTAGGTACATGCGTGCCTACTTCTTGCGTCCCCTGAACCAAGCAAGCCTGTGCCCCATGCACTTACACCGCAGACGTGTTGCCGGTCAGGCCTGTAGCAGAGCCTACACCTGAAAGTCCGGAGAGGCCCGGGGGGATTTGTTCTTGGGATGGTGGGTAGGTGAATGAGGTGTGGGATGGAAAGTAACGCAAGTATAATAAAAGGGGGCGTGTACGGCTACCAGATTGTCGAACATGGCCAAGTGGTGGATCATCATGGCGTTGACAACAGTAGTCAGGTTACGCTCGGTTTATGCAAGTGTGCTTATCAATGGCAGCTGGCATGCAGAGCGGCTGAAAATGCTCAATCATTCTCGCCCAGGTGAGTCTGAAGGACTTGATACGCACGTTCGCCCCATTGTGGGTGCAATACATAGACCCTAAACCCTAAACCCTAAACCCTAAACCCTAAACCCTAAACCCTAAGAGACTGCTTCGGGGACCATGGAATCCGGCCGCACTGCCGAATTACAGATCACATGTCCTTTTAGATCCGAAGAATCCGAACCCTGAGTAAAACCCCTAAACCCTAAATCCTAAACCCTTGACCGTCACCGACTACACGCAGGCTTCACAAGATCCCTCCTCCCGCAGCCATGGTGCACAGCAGGCCGCCGATTGCACTGTAGGGTTTAGGGTTTAGGGCTTAGGGCTTAGAGCTTACGGCTTCGGGCTTAGGGTGTACCTTCTGGGGGTGCAAGAAAAAAAAATATATATATATACCCTACTTCACATGCTTGGAGCACATGCCTGGGAAGCATGTCTTTGCTTCAACCTTTCCGGCTTGAGCGCAGCCAGATGTCCCTAAACCCTAAACTCCGAAACCCCTAAACCCCTAAACCCTAAGCCCTAACCCCAAACCCTCAACCCTAAACCCTAAACCCTAAACCCTAAACCCTAAAACCCAAACCCTAAACCATAAAACCTACCCACCGACAAGGCCCTTCCTCGAGCCGCCAACTGCGGCCCATGCCTTGGCGTCGCTCCGCGTCAGCGCGAAGGCGCTGGCGAAAGAGAAGCCCACGGCCGAGCTTCAGGGGTTCTTTGGGTTTAGGGTTTAGGGTTTCGGGTTTAGGGGTTAGGGTTTATGGTTTTACATAGGGTCTTAGGGCTTCAGGGTTTTGGAGTTTTTGTGCGGTTGTTTGTGTTCAGGTTTTTCCGTTCCGGGCTTTAGGGTGTAAGGCTTTCGGGCTCCAGGTGCACACTGCAGGGCTATGGTTGTGGGTTGGGATGGTCCCCCCTTATACTAACAGTCTTTCATAGGGACTATAGTAGGGGTACTAGAATCCCTATTAAGGTAGCTAGACCCTGCGCCTGTCAGGCTGAGGGTTGAGGGTCTACAGCTTACGTGGAAGTTCATGGTTGGGTATACCTGTGGGTGTTTGTCGGGAAACTGTATGTACCTGTAATTGCCCTGAAGATCTGCAAAACTTTCATGCACCGACATACAGGAAATGCAAAGTTGCCCCACATCCATCGTCAACTTTCAAGCCGAAACCCTGGCCACTTTGAGCGTTTAGGGATTTGGGCTAATGGCCCATTCTTGCTACCCATGAACCTCCGAGTAACGCTTGGGCTTTTCCATAGCCCAAGTCCTCGACACCCCGAACCTCTCAAGGCCCTGAAACCCTGACCTCCTCAACCTAACCATCTGACGAGGTTGAGTTTAGGGTTTAGGATTTAGGGTTTAGGGTTTAGGGTGAGGGCCTAAAAGGCTCAGAGTGTCCTCATCACACCCAGGCTGCAGATGCTTCAGCGACAGCGTGCTGAGGGGATCCTCTATGCAAGAATGGAGGCAAGACATCCTGTTGGGGGGGTTTAGGGTAGGGTTTTGGGTTGAGGGTTGAGGGGTTGAGGGTTGAGGGTTGAGGGTTGAGGGAGCAGGGTGCTGCGCCATGCAGCTTCAGGCTGAAGAGCTGCTTGGGGGTTTGGGGTTGAAGAGCTCAACCCTCCTTTAGGCCGAAGTTACATCGCCCCAGAGCGAGAGTTTAGGGTGGTGGTGCTGAACTCTTAACAAAGCACTGCAAATTATGGCCAAAGACACGGCAGAGGAGGTTTGCGTGAGGGTCCTCTTGGCTTGGTTCTGTATTTGAAGGTGTCTGCGTTTCGGGTTGCGTCAACGCACCACCCGGGCAAGGCCCCATCAAGCATGCCGCTTCCTCAAGTGAAGTCCAACAAAGCAGCGCACCCAGTGATGTCCCGGGCTCTTTCAAAAAAACCTTTGGCACCACGGAGAACTTCGGCTTGCACACATGGGTGGTTGTCAAATGATGGTCCCTTTTGGGGCCCCTAATATAATACGGCACCTAATTTTTAGGGTACCCCAAAAAGGGATCATAATTTTGACAACCGCCCACATGATCTTCTAGGTAGGATAAGGGGGACCTTTAAAAGGGAACCCTTCTGAACCCTTTTTCTGGCTCTCTCAAACAGGGGCCTTATTGACAGGGTCTATAGCCCCAAGGGTCCCCTTTATCCTATTCCCTGGATCTTTGAAGACCTTGTAGACTTAGTTTACCATCTTCGTAGCTTCATGAAGTTTTAGGGGGTTTCGTGCTGACCCTAAACCCTAAACCCTAAACCCTAAACCCTAAACCCTAAACCCTAAACCCTAAATGGGGCGACTCGTGAGCCTTTATCGCCGTGGTTTAGGGGCTAGCTTCCCTGAGAGTTCCCTTTTGGACCGAGTCTTTCTGAGGTTTCTCTGAGACCTCGCGTTATCCATCTGACCGCTGTCTTCTTGTACAGTATTGTGGTAGTTATGTTCCGCAGTAGCAATGCAGACAGCTACTAGCCACGTTCTGCAAGCTGGCCTGTCAAGCGCACTCCTACAGGACGCTCCTCGCAAGAAGCACGATGGAGGGGTTTACGGTATTCGGGGGTACCTTGTTGGGGTCCTTATAAGGGAATCCGATTATTTGGGGGTCTATATTAGGGGTCCCTTGTCGTGCACCCCCCTATTGCCCCAAATCCTGCTAAACCCTACACCCTGAAGGAGGATGCACCTAGCTCCTGGCAGAAGAGCGCCCTTCTACAGTATGTTCAAGCACTCTTCGCAAGCATGGGTGGCATGATCCTTCCTTGATTCCCTGAACTCAGACCCTCAAACCCTAAAAGCCCTAAAACCCTCCCTATGCTTCACACCCCCACACCCCTAAAGCGCTTCCTGCATCCGGCCTGGCGCCTCTTACTCCATCCTGTCATCATCGGGGGGCTTGGGAGTCGTTCAAAACCTTTTGCTGGGCTAAGGGGTTTTAGGCTTGGTTGGGGGAATGGGGTTTAGGGTATTTAGTTTGGAGTAGGGTGATGCTAACCCTAAACCCTAAACCCTAAACCCTAAACCCTAAACCCTAAACCCTAAACCCTAAACCCTAAACCCTAAACCCTAAACCCTAAACCCTAAACCCTAAACCTTGGGATGTTGAGGGCTTGCCACTCTAGGCCCGGCTGGTGCCCCTGGACGGCGCGTGGGAGCAGACGGCAGTGGCCGCAACCTCAGCTGTTCGGGTTCGGCCCGAACCCGGGGGAAAAATGTAGGGTTTAGGGTTTAGGGTTTAGGGTTTAGGGTTTAGGGTTTAGGGTTTAGGGTTTAGGGTTTAGGGTTTAGGGTTTAGGGGAAGGAAAAACTTAGTCGTAGAGTATGTAACCTTTAACCTCTTTGGGGGGTAATAGAAGCCCCTTATATTCCCAAAGGTTAACCTTTAGTTACCCCACGTTACTGGACTAAGAATAGAGGAGACTAAGTTGCCAGCGTCCTGCTCCCGAGAACCCCTATATCACGTACCCTAGGTACCCATTCAAGATCAATAGCAAGCCCTGCCCCTAAACCCTAAACCCTAAAAACCCAAACCCTAAACCCTGAGCCCGAAAGCCACACGGGGTTTCATAAAAGTGGGCCCAGAATTCGGATTGAAGCTGGCGGCCGAAGTCAATCAGAAATGGATGCTGGCCCTTAGTAGGGAATGGGGGGGAATTAGGGCCCGATAGAATCCCTTAAAGGGTAAAAAATAAGGCCCGAACTTCCCCATTCCCGACTAAGAACCAGGGAGTTTTGCAAAACTGGGGGGGGGGGGGGTGTGGGCTTCAAGTGGGGCTTTAAGGTTCAATTGGTCGGGGCTTTCGAGACTGTCTTAAGGCTTGCGGTGCGAACCAGGGGTCTTGGGGTTGCGCGCTTCAACTTCAGGACCCTCATCAACCCTAAACCGCCAATCCCCCAAATACTTAAACCCACAAGTGCGCTAAGGGCTTCTGGTCATTTTTTTTTTTTTTTTGGGCGGGGGGGGGGGGGGGGTTATCTGCTCTTCAGCCCCCTGTGACGACTTAAATCTCCGTGGTTTCAAATCGAACGTGGGGCTTTGGGGGACTTCGGCTGAAGGTTGAAGGTCTTTTTGTCTCTTTGGGTTTTGGGTTTAGGGTTTTTTGGGTTTTAGGGTTTCAGGGTTTAGGGTTTTGGGGGGGGAAGGAAGATGTGTTGGGGGATTGGGGGTCAGGATCTAAGCTTCAGGCTTCAGGGTTTTTCTAAACCGGGGATGTTTCCCTAATCTTGTGCCCTAAAACCCTAAACCCTAAACCCTTGTGGCCCAGGGCCGATCCCTTGCCAAAGCGCTACCGCTCGCTCCGCTGCATCCGCAGAAGGTGCACGGGGGCTTAGGGTTTAGGGTTTAGGGTTCAGGGTTTAGTGTTTGGGGTTTAGGTTTAGGGTTTAGGGTAGAACTTGGGATGTTCCCCCTTATTCAAACAGTCCTTCCCAGGGATTGTAATCGGGGGTACTAGAACCCAATTAAGGACTACTGGCATGAGGGGGAAGATTCAGCCCACAACAAGCCAACAAAAGCCATGAACCCCCAGGTCCGAACCCCGAACAAAGGGTTTAGGGTTTATGGGGTTAGGGTTTAGGGGTTAGGGGTTAGGGTTTAGGGCTAAACACATGCTCAAAGCGCCGTGGGGGCTGATCTCCATGATTCAGCCCTTCTCGGGGAAAAAACATTTAAAAAAACTAAGCCCGAAACCCTAAACCCTAAACCCTAAAAGCCCTAAACCCTAAAAGCCCTAAAACCCGAAAGCTCTGAGTCCCTGAGAGCGGCTTGTCGCAGGTGCGCGCCAGGGATGACAAGGATGGCAAGGTGAGGCAGAAGGCTTCGCAGAAGGGGTTTTGGGGAAGGGGCGGAGGGGGGGAAGGGGGGGAGGGGGGGGGGGGGGGGGGGGGGGGGGGGAGGGATTCCGGGAGTTTGTGAGTTTACAATGCAAGGGTGGTGGACTCCAAACTCAAAGCCCATCAGCTTGCTCTCTACATGGGTAGGTTTGAACATGACTTGTAACTTTTGTTCACCCTTATTCCCCTATGTCATACTTATAAAGCCACAAAAAAAGCAAATTTTGCAGGGCCCCTGAACCTACCCCAGTCCAGGACTCTTGCTTTCCGGTGGGGGGAGTTGCAGGGTCAACGTGGCCGTTTCAGGGTGCAAAGCAAGCCAGGTATTTAGGGTTTAGGGTTGAGGGTTTAGGGTTAAGGTTTTAGGGTTTAGGGTTTAGGGTTGAGGGCTGCTCACTTCGCCCAATATTTGAACTTTAACCTTTTTGGGTGTCTTGATTTAGTAGGAATGCTAAAGTTTAACCTGTTTGTTCCCCTTGGTTATTGGCGAAGTAAGTATGAGGTCGAGCATAACAATCTGGTTTGGGGTGCCCCCAGGTTCCGGGGTCCTCAAGGCAGGGGGGTTCATCGGGGGTAGATACCTAGGGAACCGTACGGAAGCTTAGGGAGCTTTTTATAGTTGTGAGGGAGTATTCGGGAACCTTTGCGATACATACCCCTCTTAAGCAGCCCCCCCTCCCTCAAGAACCCTATAACACACGCTCAAAAAATCTCCTGGAGCATCACATGACCTTGAATTCTGGACCGGTCCCCAATCCTCCACAGGGCAACGCGATCTCCAAGGCCGAAAGGGAGTTTAGGGTTTAGGGTTTGGGGGGGGGGGGTAGCAGGGAGGGGTTTTACAGGGGTCAGGTCTTTTGGAGGTTCGGCCCTTCCGGAACATAGCCAGGGTTTCCATGACATCCCTTTGTTGTGGAGGTTTCGGGTTCTAAGCAAGAATCGAAAACCTTGGCTACTGACAGGTTTCGGGGGGCAAGGTGCGGGATTCAGAGGGTTATGGCTGCAGCGCAGGGCGCGAAGATGGAAAGGATTGAACTACATAGGACGGATATGAAGCTGTTCCTACATTGCTAGCCCTGGGAACTCCTCAACCACCGGTAAGCTTAAACCTTTATGTGTGTGTGACTGGGAACTACAGTGGTACCCTTTTGCTTTTATTTTGGGTGATGGGTTCCGTTATAAATTAGCCGACAGCAAAACGGGTGCCCGAATAGTCTAAATGGCCCCAAAATAGGTGGTTCAGAGTTAAAGGGCTAAACCCTAAAGGATTTAGGCGCTCCGACACGACTTTCCTTGGCCAGTCGCAGAGCTTGCCTACAATCTCGCCGGGCCATCGGCCTGACGCCCAATTGCTTTTGAGGGCTTTGGGGTTAAAGGTCTAGGGTTTATATAGGGTGTAGGGTTTAGGGTTTAGGCGGTTTAGGGTTTGACGGCTTTTGTGCTGACGAGAGGGCAAACTTCAGGGTGTTGGGTTTAGGGCTTGAGGGGTTGCGGTTTTGGGGGGTTGAAGGAACCTGCAAAAACGACGAGGCCAACATGCAGTCGCGATTTGGCGAGCTGGCACCATAAACGCAAGAACTGCAGATCCCCGGAAACACTAAGCACCCGGAAACACCAAGCCTAACCCCTCCACGACTCAGAACAAGCTGACCTCCACAACTCCAAGACCCCTAGCCCCACGCATCTCAGAACCCGCACATCCTAACCCCCAGCATCCGAAGTCGATACTAATCCCTAAGCGTTTAGGGTTTAGGGACATTGCCACGGCGGCGGACTATGCTCTAGGGTTTAGGGTCCAAAGTTGTTTATGGCTTGAGTGCGACAAACCCCAGACATGTAGAGCCTAGCTCGAAAACCCCCCGAAATTCTAAACCCTAAACCCTAAACCCTAAACCCTAAACCCTAAACCCTAAACCCTAAACCGTCGAAGCTCAGGGCCAACGCGCAGAGGGAAGTTGCCCAGGCGCAAGGGAATGGATGTGTTCTAAGCAGGGTTTAGGGGTTTAGGGTTGGGATTGGGATGTGCCCCCTTATACAAACAGCTCCTTAATAGGGATTATAGTACCCCCGATGATAATCCCTATTAACGACTGTTAGCATAGGGGGAACATCTCAAGTTATTCAATTTGCGGGCAGATGGTCCCATAATGAATCTCGTGGGCTCCTTCGAAGGAAACCTAATCCCTTCAGGCGCCGGGATTTTACAAACATCTTCGCATCGAAATCTCTGAAGTGAGACCCGGGTTTAGGGTTATGAGACTCTGCAAACCACTTGCAGGTTCGTTATAACTGGCAAAAGAAGTGGGGGAGCTCGAGTTACACTTGGCGATGACCTTTTTGGGGCCCCACTTTTCAAAACACCTGAACCTTCAAGTAGCTCAGAACCCTAAACCCTAAGCCCTAAACCCCAAGGCTCCGAAGGGATGATTTAGGGTTTGAGGGGTTTGAGCGCGGTTTTGCCAGGCGCAAGAGAGCCGAGTAGACCAAGACTAGCATTTCCCAAACTAGGGGACCTCCTTTTTCTAGCCAAGATGGTTCCCTTTGGGTGCCAACTACCTGTGCTCTAAGGAACCGTAGAAGAAGCTTCCGTGCCCGAAGTTCTAAGCCCTTGATGCTGTTTGTTTTAATGGTTCGTTCAACCAAGCCCAACGTCCGGGCGCAAGGTTTGTTATTTGGGGCTTGAGGGTTTATGGTAATTAGCCCTGAGATTCAGAGTCATAGGTGCATCTCCCTAAACCGGGGGAGGCGGGGGAGGGGTTGCCCTCAATGTACACCCTTTTTGCCGCTCCCCAAGAAGGTACCCCTAATCTCGGAAGCGCTCTTCACCCTGAACCCTAAACCTCCAACATGCATCATCGCGCATTTCAAGCCTTCTCTAGTGGTACACCGCAAGCCGTGGGTTTATGAAAAATTAAAGAGGGTCTGTTTCCCTAAAAGTGTTGACCGAAACGTTGAAACGCAATGCTTTTGCTTTCGAACCTATGTTCAACTCCATAACCCCAAGCCCCACGGCCCTAAGCCCTAAACCCCAAACCCTCGGGTGAACCCTCAACCCTAAATCCTCAGGGCAACATAGATAGAATTGTGTGCGGTGTTTTTCCGAGTTCTCCAAGTTGTTCGTCTAAACAGGCTCCAAAACACCCTGAAAAGCCCCAAAACAAAGCCCTTCCGACCCTGCAAGAGGCCGCCTTCGTCCTCCCCAGTAAATTGACGATAAACGTCCCGGCAGGCCAACAGATCAATTTACTTCAACCTCGGGAGGCCCCAAAATGACCCACAAAATCAAGAGGCCCGGAAGGCTTCGGGAGGCCTCCACAAGCCCCCAAAGGATAAAAAAATCATACCTGGACGTTTCGCGCAAAACTGTCGGCCAACACGTTTCGGTCAAGAAACGTCCCTGGAGGATACCAAAAGCCCCCTGGCAAACCCTTCAAAAGCCCCCAAACACCTCTCCGGCCCCCCCCCCCCACCCGCAAAACATGGGGTTTAGGGTTCAGGGCTCCAGTCTACCCGACACTGCTCAGAGGCCCGACTACAAGGCTTGCACCCACGTGCCCTCGACATGAGATGAACAACCGAAGAGGAGTTCAGGTTAGGGTTTAGGGTTCAGGGTTTAGGGCATAAGGTTTAGGTACATGGGAATACCTACATTTTCTACATTTCTTTCAGTGGAATAATCTTGACTGGGGTTCAGGATTGAGGGTTCAGGGGAATCTGCAGAGCATGGCTTTCACACCATCCCTCAGTAGACAGACGCCGTGGAATTTCAGAGTCTCACCAAGTGCATACTCGCTGACTATTGCACGTTAACGATTATCGCCAGAGCGTTGATAAAATGATGTCAGAGCAATTTTGGAAACACCCTAAACCCTAAAGCCTGAACCCTAAACCCCTGCCATTCTTGCGGTTGAAAGATCGTGAATATGGTTGGTGCTGGTGCGGCAATATTTTTCGGGCAAATGATTTCACCTGACGTCGATTGTTGGGCCCAATACTACATGACCCCGCAAGAAACGATGGATGTCGTTTGATAACTTTTGCCCTACGAGACTCTTTGAGAATGAATAAAATTTGAATTCAAGAGCTTTAAGATATTCTCTGATAATTTGAAATTTTTCTGAGATATAAGATACAGGATATTTGATAGAGGTCTTAAGGGGTATTTGTACGAAGTGATGAGGATTTCAAGATGACGAAGGAAGAAAATGAAATGAGGATGGCTTTAAGGTAGGAAGGAGGGAATTCATTCTCATAAAATCTGAATTCCGAGAAGATAAGATATAATTCTTTCCTTAATTTAATTTAGATTTATTTCTATGCTTCTTTCTAATATAAAATATCGATATAAAAATGGATATAATCTTTTTTCTTCAATCTGAGTTAGGATTAGATACGTCGATTTGATGTCGATTATGAATAATTCATTGATGTGATGGTTATTTGGAATATTTATTGAAAGATGAAATTAGGAGGAAGGATTTTTATATTGTGATACCTTGGGTATGATAA